ATTCAACAGACAGATAAAGTTAATTGTTATTTCTCAACATATTTGAACCTCGTGAGTTGTTTTTATTATTTTTCTTTTACTTACGGATTCGGCTTACACTACGGCCCAACGCCTGATTGATTTCGTCTACCTAAGATCAAAGTCACAACATGGATAGGTTAGACTTGAGATCAAAGCAGTTACTTCAGTGACCAGGTGTTGAAGGCGAGCTGAGAACGACAAAGTTGGTATCGAACTGGAAACGACCATATCGACCGGGACACAGGCTGGTGGCGGCGACAACGAGTCAACCCCAAACGCTGGTGGAAGAAACCTTACAGCTCCATGCTGCAACTGGAAGTTGACCACACGTTGACGGCGCAACATCAGATATTGACGTTGCAACCAGTGGACGTCACATATTGGCGCTTGACTGCGACTGCGACCACTTATGCGTGTCACACCTTTATAAGTAGGTAGCTTCATGCTACCTATCAGCCTCCTGAAACCCATCGATATTTCGGAGACTCCCATGTCCCCAAGGTCATCTGTGGTGTCTGATCCTGCTACGCTCATCCTAGCGTCTTGTCAACTACCACTTTCCCACGAGAAGAGAGACTGACGACAGACCGAAAGGAAAAATACTTAACATAGTGGTGGCGCTTCAACTGCATACAAAGTCGACAAAGTCAAAACAGGATCAACAATATTAATGGCAGATCTAAGTGCAATGAGCGAACAAAGGAAACCAAAAAGTGACTTACTTGAGGTCCGCTGCTCCGTGTTTTGTTTCTTTTTCTTCCTCCTTTTGCTGCTCATGTCTCTTTCAGACCAATATAGTTTGAAGACTAGAGTTCTTTCTGGTTTTACTTGACTGGAAAAATGCAACCTTCTCTCCTCTTTCAGACAGCTATGGTAATTCCCTCGGGTTTATCCTGGTCACAGGCACCAGTCTAACATTTTTTGCCCCAGCCCCTTAGCCTCTGGCATCTTACTCTCAGGGTTGAGGTGTCTACTCCGTCCTAACCGAACTTAAGGAAGTGGCCATAGGTCTCCTGAGCATCCGTAGATTATTTGACCAGTCTGTGCTAAGAAATTTAGAATGCAGCAAAAAAAATTAATATCTGCAGAAAGCCGGACAAAAATCAATTCAATGGTTAAATTGGTAATGTCTTTTATATAGCAGAAAAGAATAGTAGAGAGGAGAAACAGGTTACAGAAAAGAAAAGTAAAAAAACACTCATACACTGGAGAGAGAGTGTATGTGATTATCTTGTTGTTAAATCATCTCAGAATGATATATGACTCTTGCGATGGAGGGATAAAGATTTCTGTGTGGGGCTTAAAATTATAGTTGCGTTCCACCTTCCAATGCTCGCCTGGGCCAATTCTCTCTTCAAGAATTTTCTCCCCGTCTACCTTTTGCAGCATAATTACGCGTTTATATAGATAAACCTGGCTGAACAAATGACCCTCGGCCCCGCCACTTCGCATGCAATTATCACAGGGTTCTGGCTGCTTCAACCAAAATCATGTGAATTCCAAAGTACTTTCTAGCTTACTCAGCTCTATTTAAATTTTTAATTGATAAAAATTATTTTGACCATTTCCATTGTCTCCTGATGAACCAGATTCAATGGGTACAACTTCTGCCCTAGATCAGATTTCCCCATCAGTAAACAAAATGCTCTGATTTAATTTCACTATTCAAATCTACTCCAATTTTACTAAAAAAAAAAAGAATATACAGGTGTGTTTCCCAGAGTCTCTCTCTCTGTCACAAAATTGCAAACCGACCTATGTTATTGGCTAAGAAAAACAATCCCATTTCTGGCTATGAAAGGTGTGGGGCAAATGTTCTAGTCATTCTCACTTGGATCTGGTATGAAAAAGTAATAGGGGCCAAAATCAACTGCAACAAGTCATCCAGTTTGCAGTTAGATGCCTGAAAGCATGGGGGTTGTGCTTCCTTTAGTTGGACAGATGGGCACGTCCACATTCTTGGAGTGTGGTTCGGGCCTGATCTTTAGCTGAGGCAACAATTGGTCTGAGGTACAGTCAAAGGTCAGAGCAGCTGTCCAGACTTGGCTTCAACGACGTTTGTCTGTAAAGGCTAAAGCTGAGGCATGTGCCACTTACGTCTTTCCTATTATCCTTTATTGATTGGCTGTACTTCCTCTCTGCAAGAAGAAAAAGAAGGTACTCACTCACTTGTTGGCCACCTTTTTGTGGAAGTGGTCGCAAGCATCTAGTCTGCAGAGATACTGTTGTATAACGTCCATGTCATGGGAGCACTGGAAATGCCACTGACGCGCTTCAAGATTGGTTTTCCTACATGATGTGTTGACAGAGGACTCAATTTTGGAGGGGAGTGTTAGAGACACCTTCCCTAGCTTTGCCATCACTCTCATTGTTTCGCAGGTTGAGCACCATCGTAAGCCGAGATTCCTGTGAGCGTGTTGGGTGGCCTTAAGGGCCATTCCTCGGTCCAGTGACCTTTCATGGCCTCATAGGTTGATTTAGTGGAGGAAGTTGTGACACACTGTCTTTGTTGCTGGCTTGACTTGTCAACATCACAGTTGCATTCTTTCTAGTCTTGGGCATCAGCAGCAAACTATCTCAGCAAACCTGAGTTTTCACTTACCTGGAGATTGATTCAGAATGTGCTATCTCTCAATGATCTAGCCTTCAGATGGGACAGGTGGATTTGCCTGACTGTCATCAGTGTGACCTTGACTAAGAAACTGCTTCACACACCTTCTACCATTGTCCTCATGTGCGCCCTTTCTGGGACTATATTGGCAAGTTGACAGCTTGTATCACTCCCAATCATTTTGTATCCATTGATCTTGTGTATGCATGTGACAATGTGTTGCCCCTATTCTCCGGGGTGAAATGGATGGTGTTTCTCATGTTGCTAGCCATGGCAAAAATGGTGGTGTGAATGTTGTGGAATAATTAGAGATTTCTATTTTTAAGAGCTCTTGGAATTTGCAGCCCCAAATATTTGCCTAAAAAAGAAAGAGACATGGAAAGTACTTTTAAAATTCTCCACTATATTAATTAGTTCATATATAATGCAAAAGAAATGCGTACAAAATCTACAAAACCAAAAAAAAAATATAATTGACAACACAAAACTAGGTCTATTATATTATCTACAAAGTCTATAATTAAATGAGCATGTAATAAACTTGGCTAATCTCAATATAAAAATTATCCCAAATGCTTCAAAAACAAATTATCACAAATGCTTCAAAAAGCAATTAAAAATGTAACCAATGTAAAACAGTTCATTTTACATCAGAAACAGGAGTCTAACAAAATGTAAACAATAGGCCCAGAGAATAATGCAAATTGAGATTAGATAATGTAGCCAGAAACCAATTTCTAATGTCGACTGTTTTTATGTTAATTCATTTACTTTTAAATTTTGGGCCAGGTAGTACAGACTCAGTGTAAACAGGATTAGCAGTATAAAATAAAATATCCTTGACATGGGCAGAAGAACAAGAACAATTCCTCCCCTACCAGTGTAGATTAAATAAATGGTTCAATTTGAAATTCCCTGACATTAGTTTGGCTGTAAATAATGATAACTTCTCATCTCAGAAATTAAAACGGAAACATTGAATTGATATTTTTGTAAATTTTAAAGGTAAATGTGAAAAAGAAGGATTGACTCTTGGGTATTTTGTGTGTGCACCTATGAGGGGAAAATATGAACTGTTTGAAAAAAAATGATATACAGTGTGGTTTTGCTATATTATTCTAAAATGTTTTTTTTATAAAGGCACACATTAGTTAATGTTTTTATTGTTGTAAACAAGCTTTTTAAAGAATAGAACCACCTTTGTGAATTATTAGAAGTGTTGGCTGTTATTACATTTGAATAAGAATAACCACTTTGATATGCTTTGATAGAAATCTACTCTAAACAAAAGTACTTTTCACTATATTTTAAATAAAAAAGCAATAATATTTTTTCAAAATTCAGCTAAGTAAATGAATTAATTTTAGTTGATTCATATTCCTATAATGACTACTCTATTTTGGGAAGATTTTTAATTAGTTTAAATTTTTCTGCTGGCAGAAATCAATCAAGGCAAAATCAAATTTAATAATGAATGACAAAATCTGACATGAAAAATAGTGTAAAACTTACATTAAGTATGCAAAAGTATTATTTTTTCTGGTTGACCATTCTATGCTAAGATACCCTCTCCAAGACAATTTATAAGTTTAAAATGTAATTGAAGATAACATTTTCAAGACTTTATTTAATATGAAATCGGCTATGAAAGATCTTAAAAACTTATATGATAACATGTGAAGTGGGCAAAAATTAATCAATTCTTCAGCTGTTAAAAAATTGAAAAATCAAAATATGGAAATAGTTTCAGATAAGACTCTAAAACTTAAATCTCATACTATTGTAACTTGATTTTCATGATAAGGGTATAATTCAGCTCTAGAGATGATTGTATAAGTTTTATCTAAAAGAACTTCTTTTATTTCTATTTTCCACTGTTAACAACTGAAAAATTGATTCCTAAAATGCAACAAGAATAGAAAAAAGATTAGTTAGATATTTGAAATTTTGAAAAATATTTTATCACAAGAACAATTTATGTAAATGAAATATATTGACAATATTTGGAAAGAAGTGTTTTTCAGTTTATAAATTTTAGAGATGAAATATTTCTTCGTTACCTGAATGTTTTTTTTAATATTGCAATGATGTTTATGAAATAAGTGTATAACATTTGAAGATAGCAAGAAAATTTCAAAGCAAGTCATTTTTTGCTTTTACTTTTTCACATCTTTTCCTGTCCTGATTAAAAAAAAAAATATGGATATTTCTGTGCTTTGATGAAAAATATTTATTTTAAAACTGCAAAAAGAAGGAAGTTACAAGATATTTGTGTTTTGTAAGAAAATCATTTTTCAAGTGCTGATTAATTGAAAAAAGTGAAGAATTCCAAAATGTCTAATTTTTATATTATTAATTTTATTTCCAGGATTTCCAACAGGAACATGATGTCTATATGCTTGCAAAAAGTTACTTTGACTTGAAAGAATATTTGAGAGCTGTTCACTTCTTAAAGCAGAGTGAATTTACCAGCAGTGTCACTTACTTCTTGTATATGTATGCAAGATATCTAGCTGATGAGAAAAGGAGGTCATATAATATGACTGATTCTTTTAGTAAGCAAATATTTTTATTACAATTAAATCTTGAATTAAAGATATTAAGTCCAGAAACAGTTTTAAAATTTTATGATACATTTAATACTTTTCAGCTTCAAGAGTAATTGTAGTTTTCTTTGCAAGTTGCCTTGAGATATTGTTGGTTAATGTCTTGATATATGCCAAAGTTATTGCATATTTTCTTCCATTTTCAAAGTAAGAATCATTAAACAAACATATGCCAATTTTGAAAAAATTGTTTTTAAAAATAATCACTGGTATTACAGTTGTCACAATACAATGAAAAACAATTGTTTTTATAAAACAATTTTTATAAATATAAAAACTAATATATATAAATAACAATTTTAGGGAAAAAAAATTATGACAAAGTATCCTCTCTCTTTTGTGTGCATATGTAGTCATATCAACGTAAACATTACTTTAGTCTGATGAAGTCCTAAAGAATGAATCATGTCACACAAAATCTTTTTCTACTTTGTCATAGTTTTTTCCTTAAAATAAAATTAAGCATATCTAATGCCATCTAATGACAAAACAGAATTATTTTGACTAATCCAATACTTGATAATGTTTGTTGTAATCAAGGATTCAGTTTTTGTTCTTTTGCTTTGTACAATCCTTTGTATCTTTTATATCAAGCCAGATCATAATCAGATAGGACTGTTATCATAAGGTTGGAACAGACAAATGCTAAATCAGATTTGCCTTTATAAGACACTATCATCATTTTGAACTTTGATCATATAAAGCTGCACATGTAGTAGTCACATGTTAGCCAGTGATTATTGATTAGAACCAACAACTTAAACAATTTCATTGAACAAAGTTCTCTTCTGATGGATGAATATCAAAAATATTATTTTTAAATTTAGTTACATAGTCACTCAAACTCAATTCATAAAGGATTAGGCAATTTAGTAATATTCGGTGTGCCTCCAAATTTAAAGTAAGTAGTAACATTTCAGGTCATCTTTTATTATACTGAATATATTTCATACTGAGTTTAACCAGCAAAAAATGCTTCTTGGATTCAGATTTATATAAAAAATATTTTGTTTTTGTATACTGAATTTTTTATGAAGATTCATATTCATTTTGTTTTAATAGTCATAAATAATTTTCATTTAAGATGCAGAATAATCTATTAATTTTGAATATTTGTTTATTTTTATGTATATTTTTATGTTACAGCAAGCATGGGAGCATCAGTTATTAATGATGACTTAGCAAGAATTAAAGTTCTCAAAACAGAACTTTCAACAAAACACAGGAAAAAAGAATTAGATGGCTTCTGTTTATATCTGTATGTAGAAAATTTTATTTATTCTCTAGCAGTTTGGACATTTTGATCGTAGATTTTCCAGATTTGGAAACAATCAAGTTAACCTATATTATAAAAAGTGATTCTCTGGCCATCACAAATTGTCTACATGTGACTTTAAATGCATGTATGTAATATATATGTGTATGTGCTGCACATGGCTGACACATGTGCTTGTGTCATTTAATATACACACAAACTCACACAATTTGACTGAGTTTTTTTTTCTTTGTGTGACATGTTCTGTCCTTTAGAACTTTATTGGATTAAGTGATGTTTATGTTGATATGACTACACATATGCATTAAGGAGAGTGAACATTTTAAACTTTTTAATTTTTTTTGTTTTTTTTTAAGGATGAAACACATCAAATGCAAAAAAAATTCTACTGTTTTTATTTATTACTCTCTTTATAACAATCTATTCATATCTTTGATATGTAACTAAACAGATATATATATATATATATATATAGAGAGAGAGAGATATATATATATATATATATATATATATATATATATATATATATATAAAAATAAATGACAGTAAGATATATAATCCAGTGTTCTTATTGATATTTTTGCTTTTTACAAAATAGTGCTCAATGTAAATTTACAGAGCATTAATATTATTATAAATTAACTGATTTGACCAGTTTATTACTTATTGACAATTAAGTAAATTTAAGTAAAAACTATTGCTCCCCACCCTGGCTCCATGAATTCTGGGGAAAATGGCACAAGTGGAATAAGGACATTAATTTATTTGCAAAAAAAAATAACATTAATTTGTAAATCCTAAAAAAAAAAATAAGATAATTGTAAGATTTTATTGAGCTTTTTGGAAACTATTTAGTAAAAAATAAAATTATTATAATTATTTTTTTAATTTGTAGAAATACGTTTAAGTCCGTCATTTAATTAAAAATATACATGTGCACATGCAAATATACATACATACAAGTTGAATGAAATTGAAATCACCATCTGTGTTGCAAGAGCTAATTTTTCTTTCTAATTGACAACAACCCCGAGGAAAAGAGTATAAGCTGAAATGTGCAGTCCTTTGGAGTCATTTTTATAATTTCTTTTATATTTGAATTGAATATATTTTTTAATAAATGTATTTTAAATGGACAATTTAGATTTCAAATTTGATCATTTTGCCACCTGTGAAGTAACAAGTACTGAAGTAGTTAAAACAAAAACTAAACCATATACTTTGCAATTTGATATGCTTTAAGGTATTAGGTATGAAACTTCCATACTTTTTTAATTTCTTATTATTGGTCATGTATATTTTAGGAACACCTGGATATTTGTTTTGTTGCAACATTTTAAAAATTAAGCTCTGTTCAAGATGGAAACAAGTAACAAAAATAACTAAAAATGTGTATTATTCAGCAATCAACAATGAACTTTACTTATTAGTTGCAATTGCACTCTAATCTTTAGAACAATGCTTGTAACTAAAAAAGGAGAAGATGATAACTCGTTTTGCCTCAAGTTTTGTTAAGAGTGATAATTTATTCTTTTTGAAAATTTATGCGTGTTACTTTTCATGTTTCTCTCATAAAAAACATAAGATGCATACAATAAATCTTAAATAGATATTCATATTGATTAAATTTAACTAAAGTATTTAATAATTTAAAATTTTATTTGGTTCTTATTCAGATCTTAACACTTCTGCAACAATGATTTATAGAATGTACTTACATGAAATAATATTAACATTTTAATTTCAGATACGGAGTTGTATTGAAGAAATTAGACCTTCTAAAAGAAGCAACAAATGTTTTATTAGAAGCTGTACACCAAGAGCCACTTCACTGGGGAGCTTGGCAGGAACTGAACACTCTTATCCCTGACAAAGAAACAGTTAAGTTATACAAATTAAAAAAATATTTTTAATGATATTTTTAAAACAATAAAGATTAATGAGTAATATTTATCAAGAATTCTTTATCTTGTTTTCAGCTTTTGTCTTTGTCCTTGCCTAATCATTGGATCAAGCATTTATTTTTGGCCCACATGTATTCAGAGTTACAGCACACAGATGAAGCTCTTAAGATTTATCAGAAATTTGTTGACAATGGATTTGCTAACTGTACTTACATTCAGGCTCAGATTGCCATTGCTCATGATAATAGTCGCAGTATGTATAAAAAAATATTCATTTTTCTTCTATTTAATTAAAACCAGTGATTTCTATAAAATAATTCTTTTGTGAAAGAATTCATTTATTATTTATGAAAGATTAATTCGAGTTCTTGATTAAAAATGACAATGTTGTTTTAAAACCACTTTAACCCTTTAGCATTCAATCTGCCCTGTAAATATTGACTCTCAATGTTGAACCCACCATAACTTGCTCCATATATACTCTGCCATAATATGACAACATAATCACAAATAACACAGGAAGTCATGCAAACAGTGAGACTGATATTTATGGAATGGATTTGAGTATGTTGAATGCTAAAGCGTTAAAGCTTGTTTGTTCAAGATCATGATTTCACTGTGTTATTTTTCTCATGATAAATATAATTTTATTTTACAAACTCTTTGCTTCTCAGCATTGATATTTGTTTTTTATTTTTTAATTTCTTCAGGTTTTGATCAAGCAGTAGAAGTGTTTATGAAATTACGTGACATTGACCCTTATCGATTAGAAAATATGGATATTTTTTCTAATATACTTTTTGTAAAAGTAAGTTATCTTTATCATAAACTGTGTTAATTTCTTTTTTGGTTCCAGCTATGTATTTTTGTAAGAAAATAATTCCTTGAATGAGATACATATTCTAATGAAATTTAATAATGATGCAACTTTACAACTCAACAAATAACTTGTTTTTTCATTCTCTCTTTAGTACTGTGCTTAATTTCCAATTTATTCACAAAATTTTAAGTCTTTAAAAAGTTCAAAATATTTCTCTTATCCTTTCTTAGTTTTTGTTCTTGTATTATTGGAATATTTATTACATTAACCTTTTGCTTTGGAGATTAGGGTAAAAACATTTTTTGCCAATCTAAAACAATCTTTAGTTGATAAGTTCATATCCATTATTTAACTAGTTTTAAAAAGCAATTACAGATTTAAATATACAAAAATTAATTACAAATATAAATGTATGAAGGATATTGTTTTTGTTAACAAATGTGAATAACACATTGTCATCTTTTTTCCTTTTTATGAGACATACTTTACTATACTGTTCATTATATGAGTATGCTACTTGAGTAATAATAGATTTAAAATATTAAATTTACTTACATTATTTGCATATGGACTATTGTTCTCATGTTTGTTATCATGAGAACAATAGACCACATGTGTATAATGACTCCTCATCCCAGAAATTCAAACAGAAACGAATAGATTTCTTTTGCATTCTTTTATATCTTTAATTCATTCCTGAAAAGCAAAGCTTAAATTTTTTTTATATATAAAAATATTTTGAAACCTTGGTATCTCTCACAAATAATGAGACAATTTTGTGAAAAAAATAATGCATAAATCTCAACTGATAATATTCGATTGTTATTATTTTTATTTTAATAAAATTTTGTTTGATTAGGCAAATTTGGTAAAATAAAATTATAAAGAATTATTATTATAGATTAATCTGTTCAGAATTGTTTTCATCTTAATTGTAATGTTTCCCTCATTGTACATGCTGGTCAATGTCATAATCAGTAGCTTTCTGTAAATCTCACAGAGGCATATTATTATTAGTCTTTGATAGGGAATGTCTTTAAAGTTAATTCATCCTTGTGATTTTATTTTTTCACTGTGTGACCCAGGGATTAAACTCTTAACCACCAGATATCTAGGTGCACTTAATGAATACATCCACTACACTAGGTTATTTCTTGTAAAATGATCAGATCAAGAATTTTGAAACTTTTACTAATCATAAGCTTCCGTATAGTGTTCATTTTTATGCTTGGCTTACTGAGGTGTTTATTAAACTGTAGGTAATGCTTAAAAAACATCCAAAAGTTGTAATCCCTGGAGAGACTATCGGATCATGTGTGGATGGAAAAGAGGTATGACCAATTCCTGTGGTATAAAGTTAAATAAGTTAAATAGAAAACAGCATGGAAAAATGAAATGAAAGAATCAGTGTATGTGTTATACTCTAGTAATCTCCTTAGAGCCAATCATGAATTCTAGTTCCACGTGCCATGTTTGATGGATGTCAGTTATCAGTTATCTCCTGCTAATTTCCCTCTGAAAGTTCTCCACTGCCTTAACCGGGTATTGAACTCACACTATTTGGGTCCTGTCACTGGATCTAACCAACGCCTTTATCCACTGTGCCATGTGTCCTTGAGGACATCTCGGTATGAATTTCTGGGTATTATAAACCTAATGTCTTCAGCAACCATTTTTACCAGTGCTCATATTGCAATTTTGCTGTTATCATTCATGTTTTTACCAGAGCTCATATTGCAACTATGTTGTTATCATTGCTTTTCTGTGGCACTCCTTATTACTGGTTCCCATATTGTATTTATTTCTATGCTTAGTCGGCTCAGGAGATTTTTGTGGCCTAGCATATGTGCTGATTCCTTAAGTTTATGAATTTTCCAATGGTGTTCCTTGTCAATGATCTCAACCTGATCCCACAGAGGGTGGTGATCTCCCTTCTCTCTCCATATGTGGTCAGCCACGCCTGATTTTTCTACTTTCCCTCACTTTCTGGTGTTCTTGAAGCCTTACCTTGAGGGGGCGGCCTGTCTCTCCTTTATATTCCTTTCTGCAGCTGCATGGGATAAGCGTACACACAGTCTTTAGTCATGTTCTCCTCTATGGGGGGTCTTACTCGGGAGAGATATCTGCAAAGTGTTGTCAAGCTTTTGAAGGTTGTCCTGATGTTGTATGGACTGCAGATCCTTTGTATTTTCTCTGATAACCCCTTCACATAAGGCAGGCAGACTGTTTTCTGAGTGTTGTTGTCCTCCTCCTCTTGTACCCGCCTATCCCAGTTTTGGGGGGCTGCTGCCATGTACCCAGGGTAGTTGTTACATTGTAGTGTACTACTTATACTGACCTTTTCTGATTGCTGTTTTGCCGCCTGATTTTTTTTTTTTGAATTTACCCTTTTTGTTTTGAACTTCATTTTTGGTTAAGTTTGACTCTATTACTGTCTTTTGTGTTTTTTACGACTGTTTTGCAAAAGATTTTGATTTTTTTTTTCTTTTCCTTTTTACCCTTCCATTTTTTTATTTTTACCCCTTTTTATCTTTGCTCTTTCCCTTTTATTTTAGTCTACTTTTTTGATTTTCATTTCCTTTAATTTCTTTTCAATATATTCTCGTTTTTTATTTTGTAACCCTTTCCAGTGTTTCGCTTTATATTTTTATGACTTTAATTTCTTCTATACGTGTTATTTCTTTGTTTCTTTCCTTTTAATATCCTTTAAGTTTTCCGTGTATTGTTTTTAAATTTTTCTGTGTCATATTTGTTCTAATCCTTGTATTGTCTAATTGTCTAATTATTTTTATTTGGTTGACTCGCTTTTGGTTTTTGTGACTAGCTCAATCTATTACTGTAAGTTACGTATTTTCTTTGTCTAGCTTTTTCGTTTTATGGTGTTTTTGTGTTTGTGAAGTCCCCACCTAAATGCATTATCGATATTTCGGAGTTCTTGGAGCATGCCGAGAGTTACGCACACCTTGTGGTAGAAGGTGGGCTCTTGGAGGATCCAATCGAACTTAAGAAAATCGAGAAAAGAATAGTATCCCTTTTTGTCATCGACAAGTGTTCGTGCAAAATTTGTCGTTCAATGAAAGACACAGTAGTGAAAACACTGGGGTTTAAAACACTTTGAATAGTTAAGGGCAAAGGCTTTTTCATGTGGGACGTGCTGCTACCCACTGCTGAAGACTGCATACATGCTTCAAGTAGAGAATTGATCATGAAGGATTTAATTCTCCATACAGAGTATGAGGGCTGGCGAAGGACTAGTGTAGGACCTGGCAGCTTTCTTGTCCCAGTACGGCGAGATTTCTGAGTGGTCTTACCCCCGGTTGGACCATCACCAAAGTCCCCATTCCCCGATGAGCTTTCTTCCACTGCAAGTGCAGTTGAGGAGAAGTGAGAGGGGGAATGGCAGGTGGCTGGCAGGGCCAGAGTGAAGTGTCAGACAGTGGGTCCTCAGTCCCCTGAAGCCCCTAGGACTAAAGGCACTGACAGTCCCACTCCCTCTGTCAACAGTAAGGGCGACAAACTGGCCTCATTACCGTCCCCAAAGGAGCTCCAAAGGAAATATGATCCTGGCTTTGAAAAAACAGAGAAAATCAAATCTCTTAAACAAAAATTAGACAATCTTCCAGTAAAAAAGTTCTTCACCCCCCATTTCCACTGCTCAACATTCTGCACAATCTTCCCAGCCCTCTACATCCAGTCAACCAAAATTCATCTCTACAAAGAAGACTAGTCCTCCCACAACCCCTTACCCATCTCCTTCTTCCCAGCCTTCAACCCCTCTTTGTAGAGATCCCTGTCCTTTTAGACAAACTTATACACTGCTGCACACCCAATTAAAAACCAAGAAATGCTCCCTCCCCAAAACAAGAGGCTAAGAAGCCCCACACATGACCTATCCGGTCATAGAAAAAAACAAAAACATTCATTTAACCCCAGGAAAGATGTCTAAGATATCTCCATTACAAGCGGAAAAAGCCCGTGATTATGGCAACAGAATTAAGGACCTCAAATACCCCTTATCAATTTTCTGACAAGAACATTGAAGAGCCAAAAAACCTCCCCAGAGCAGAAATGGTCTTCACTGTCATAAGGATTGGGACGGGGAAAAGCAGGCATGGGCCATACTAGACAAAGCTATTGCCTCTATCAGTATGTCTCCGCCTATTGTGATTGTTCAACATGAAAAACTAAAAAAACTGAAGCAATTTGTGCTGGGAGGGTCCCAGTTTTTGTTTACCCCTCCCTCTATAAAGCACTAAAGCTGACTTTCCATGGGATATAGGTGGCATCTCCCATGACAGCTCCATCAAGACTGAGATGGGCCAAGGGGCAATGGGAGAGGCTGTCGGTATCCTTACCCCGGCCATGTTCAATTCAGGCAAGCAACCCTAATCGGTCTTCACTATGGCTCTCTGGTTAGCAAGTGTAAATGTCCGAGGCCTGAGTTTGGAGTCTTGCAGGGTGAGGCTCTCTCATGACCTTCAGCACCTCGGGTGAATGTTTCTTGTGTCCAGGAGACCCGGTTTTCTTCTCATGACCGTGAGGACATTCTGTCTAAGGGGTTCTGCCTTTATTCAGCATGCTTTGATGGTCGTTCAAGGGGTGTCTCTTGGCTAGTGAGCAAGTCTTTGAAGGCTGCATGTACTCTTGTCTTCGTAGATCCGGCGGGCATGCTTTGTGTGCTGGATGTTACTATAAAGGATAAGGCTCTATGTCTCATTGGGGTTTATGCGCCCAATAACCATTCTGAGCGGCCTACTTTGTTTCATTGGGTAGTTTTAGTGGGGGATTGGAATGCCGGCCTTGACACCGATATAGATCATATAAGGCAAAATCAGGGTACTAACAACCGGGATGTGAAACCATTTCGGGACTTTATCGACAGTTTGATCTTGTCGATAAGTAACCTCTTTGAAGGTAGCATGGACTTGGACAAATAGTGGTAACTCGGCTCCTGGGACGTGTGTTCTAGCTACCTCGACTGAGTCTTA